ATCACAGAGTAACACAGAGTGCTAGTCTAATAGACGAAGGTGACAATTTGGTAGCAAGGCAACACACACTCGCTCCTAATCAGTGTCGAAATTTTCTCAGTGTTGATGCATAGATTAGGTGATTTGAGATCGCACATGCACACACACACTCACACTCACGATCTTAGATGAGATGATTACAGTTCAGTCACAGTTTGACGTGGCCTTTAATGTCTGCATATTTTGTTCTCAGTATTTCCTTATTACGGACTTACAAAGGTCAGTACGCCTGTCAAAAATCTGTCTGCGTCCCATCTTGATTAAGATCTAAACCCTCACAATGTGATTTGCTTGTGTGTGTGTGTGTGTGTGTGTGTGTGTCATGAATTCATTACTTGATTTTATTCAGAACAACATTTTCGATTCTGGAAGCGTCAATGATTTAGTTGCACAGAGGAGCCATTGCCAAAACATAATGACCATAATGGTGGTTAGTGAATACACACTATCCGTACTGTTAAAAAGAGGGTGCAGGAGTATTTTAAGATTACGCTTGCATAGCTACGGATTCAATTTCAAATATATTAAACTTACCCTCTACAAGTATACAACTGTTCCTGTCAGAATGCACAGTCACATCGCTTTGTCCCAGATTAGTGTCATCTGATGGTTTTGGATGGATTAAGACTGATCAGCTGACTCCAGACCTGTAGAATTAGATGTTGCTGTTAAGTCAATGTTGTTTCATCAGAGCCATTTTTCATCCGTCTAATTTTTTTTTTAAACATGCCCAAGCATAAAGAGCTTTTTGTAAATATTTTATGAATACAGCTTTTAAAAGTTAATCATTAAAGGACATTTATAATATATACAATTAGAGTAAATATGTAGACTTTTATGAGATGTTTAAAGTAGATTCTTTATCTGGATATTGTAATTAATGTGATAATAAGAATGATTACTTTTTGTCGCCATTCTGCAGAGACGTGCATACTGAAATAAGGAGATAATCCTATTGCAAAGTAGATAAGATTTAAGTAGTTTTTATGTCAAATTGTAAATCAAAGTGCTTTGAATCACACGCAAGAGAAAGAAGGCGACGGAATATAAGAAATATTGCTTAAAAACGGGCTGAGACTCGAACACCCAGGCAAGGCATCAGAGCCTGGAGTCATGGGTGAGTCTCAAGCCCACTCAGGGCTCTTGCTTTTCAGAGGACGTTTTGCCATTTCGGGAATGAAGCCTGGGGCCTTGAACAGAGCTAACTAACAACAGCCATATTGACACTACAAGAGGCACAACATGGACAAATTCTGATTTTCTTCTGAGGACACTTTCGACCAAGGACTTTGCTTGGATCAAATTCTCCTATTTGTGTGTGCGTGTGTGTTTTGATAACTCCTGAACGTCAAACTGATCTCCATAAGGTCCATTGAAAGACATGTAGTGAATGATGAATAACATTGGTCCTTCAGTGGATACCTTCATGCACAAGAAGACGTAACTAACGTAACTGCACCATTCCTAGTTGTGTTGTCCTTATGAGGTCCATACAGCAGATATGGCTGGTTATGATAATTATGACTGCTCACGGTCTCTGACAGGTGGATGATTTCATATGTTGTCCAAAAGGAACAGTTCCAAAATATATTTATGGTGGTTGTTGTTGTTGTTTTTTGTTTGTTTGTTTTTTTGCTTTTTCAGTTCAGTGAAATGCAATCTTTAAGCAATAATGACGGAAACTGGAACCTTTTTATGAAAACAGAAGATGATTCCATTTCTTTCTCTCTCTATCTTTCGAGTATGTTTCTTCCCTTCAATGATGTAGGGTGGACAGTGTTTCTCTTGCCAATCTGAAGGACATTGGAAAGCTTAATTTGACATTTCCCTCTGTTTATTATACACCGATGAAATCTGTTTGTCACAGGACAGTCATTGAAACATCCGTTTCCAGCAGTGATGAGACAGTGGATGGCATTTTCCATTTCTTCCGTGTTGGTTCAGGGCTAATTTTACTATTCAAATCAATCACACTCCCTTTTACTTCCTGCACTAGTTTGCCTGCCTTGTGCCAAAATATATATTCTCATTAATGACTAAATGCCAAATTGAAGGTTGTATGTTTTTTTTTTTATAATCACTGCACACACAAGACAGCATAACTGTCACATGATCAAAAAGCACACACAAAAACTTTCTCCCATCAATGTGTTTAAAAACCATGGAGCCTCGTGTGAAAATGTGCGTGTGAACTGCAAAAACATGTGAATTGTGTCCAATCCAACTAGATGTTTCTTAGGCATGAACAAAGAAGATAAGATTTCAGAAATACTAAATAGGGACATGGCCAGTATTGCATATTTTAAATATTGACAGACGTTATATATGGTATTTGTTCTTTGTGCTCAATACATTTCTGTCTGTGACTGATCTAACATTAATCTGACCTGTCAGATGACACATAGGGAAACGTATTTTCATAGGATTTTTCGTCTTGGTTTTCTGACGTTTGCTATTTCTCTGTATAGGGTGTGTGTGAATGCGTAAAAAAAAACGAAATAAAGCAGAGAATGAGAGAGAGAAATAAATCGATTCGATCTTCCACCCCGGTACTCTGGCTGTTCTTTTGAGGGCTTATGGGACTCCTGGGCTGGTTATTGACGAGAGGATGACAGCATATCATGATGAAGTCTTGCTTTATAATGACAAACATGTCGAAACTTTTCAGTTTTGTATAAACTCAGGCCCACTAGGCAAAAGTCTATCATCTGTTACCCACTATAAGACTACACAACACTACACAAAAGCACACTTTCTCATTCCAATCGTTCGCCTCAACTTTAACAATCATGCGCCACCTTGTGATTATGATGAGAACAGCAAGAAGATTGAAGCGGGGACTGACCCTTTTACTTTCTATGGGACTGACTGACAGGTGCACCCTAATAATTCTATGTATGTTCACAAGTTTTACAAACTATGGTAGGTCATTTAAACCTCTACATTCATAAAACATTTTACATTTGCTACTTTGAAGCTACTAATAGAAATACTTTCATTATTTACTTGTATATTTAGATTGTTACTGGTACCGGAAATAAATTGGAATGGACTCCAAGATTCAGATATGAACAATTTTTAAAAATCATTTAATATATATATTTTTTTTACAATGTGTTGTTATAACCAATAATATACAAATAAAGGTTTCACTTACTATTAAATAGTATTCACGTAATAAAATAAAATAAACGATTTAAAAAAAAAAAAGAAATATTTATATAGGCCTATTGTAGCTACTATACTGACCCTCCTCCTCCTTCACATCTCACAAGTAGCCTACTTTTTACTCGGTTTAAGGGATGTCAGTACATTTATGGAATTAGATTTGCTTTTTGGCACAAATCTAATTCCATAGGGATTCGTGCCAGAAAGGCAAGCAAGAACTCAGGGATCTTAAACGAAAACTCTGACAGCACACTTGTAAATTCAGATTAGTGAAAGGACGAAAAGAAAACAGTTAGCATGCAGTGTATTTAAAAATGATGTCAAACATCTTGCCTGCAATATATTTTGTCCAGTTTCGAATAGTTTTATCCATTTTCAATTTATATATTTGTATTCGTTTTTTGAAAAGTTACGTTCAAAACATTTGGCACAAATCGTATTCCACATTCTACAGCTAATTGATTGTATAGCATGCAACTTTTAAAGTTCCCAGCCCTTTTGAGAGAGTGACATTTTTGAAACGCTATATGTTGTGTGAAGTTTGGTTAACTTGCATAATGCGAAATCTTTGATCTGTGAACTGTAAACTCTATTGATGCACACTGATACAAGCCTCATTAAATGAAGGGTAGCTTAAAGCAAGCATTAAATTCAGACATTGTTCATCACACACTCTCTCTCTCTCTCTCCCTGGCAGAAGTGGAGAAGAGCCCTCTATTATAAGGTCACTGCAGATCTAGCCATGAATGAAATGAAATATCTACTCCATAAAAAGATAGATAAAGGGCAAATAAAACCAATTCTCCCGTTTACTCCTCCTAAAGATTGAGAGACTGCCGTTATGTCGGGTTTATTCGGTCGTAATGGCTGTGCTGTTAAAAGACAGGCTCTGAACTTTGGATCTGTGCTTTACAGGACTTTGTCTATACATTTTTTACCATTGTGTACATTGAACTCTAATTTAGGTTAGAAAGGATTAATGAGCAGTAAACAATTCCAGGCAAGCATCTTTATTGAAATGTTTGAAAAGCTGCACATACAGTATTTGTTTTCAGACAAAAATGCTTTATGATGCTTTTAAACAAACATGTCAAAATGTATTTGAAAGCAATCTCAGCTAAGTTTTTTTCCATGTAAAAACACCCAGAATAGTTTCAACTGAAAGCGAACATTTTTCAATATGACTTTCCTCACAAAATTCAGTGTCAATAGGGCAAAAAATACAATGGCACAGTGGTGATACTTTAATTCTCTCACTCATACACAATCAAACAAACACATGGATAAAATTTCACTTGTGGAGACTTAGAGAGACATTCTTAAATAGGAACCGATAGGAATGTAGGAATGAGACACATAAGAGACACATAAAAAATAGGAATGTGTTGTCTCACAAAATAAGTAAAATATCCATCCAGTCTGCATTACCTAAATTAAGACATTCTTCTGTCAAGTTGATGTCACAAAAATAGCAGTCATCATAGCTCAAACATCATTAAAATCTTATTGAACAAGACCAATTATCCTTTCACATGGGATGTAACAACTTTTTGCAATGTAGAGGTATATATTTTTCAGTGTAAAAGTATTTTGTTTTGTTTTGTCAGTCAATCGTTTTAAGATAAGCATGACATAAATATCGCACAGCAACATATGAACTCTATATTTTTTTATCAATATAAAACTTCATTAAAGCAGTAACTTTATACAGTGTGCTGAACACGTACAGCTTATAATGGCACTCCAAGTTAAAATGTTCCAAAGTTATAAAATTGAGTGTCTGTTGATGTTGTTCTTCCATCTCCCTTATAACAGATCTTTACGTTATTCTGCCTGCCAGCTTTATTGCCATCTTCTTGATCTCTAGCCGTCCAAGGATCCACTGCCCTTGTTCTTGTTGCGGCTGAGTGGGAAGGTGGATTTGCTCTGAGGTTGAGTCATTTTGCTGGCCAGATGGACAAAGGGCTCAATGAGCGTTCGTCTGTCGGTCACAGAAACCTCCCACAGCCTGACCTTCTCCTGCCGTGCCCACTGTTGAGCCGCCTCGCTGTCCACTCTCCTCTGATCCTGCAGGTCCAACTTATTACCCACAACAACAATAGTCACCTAGGAGACGGAAAGACAACGTCTTTAGTAAAAGCTTTTTAGCTTAAAAAATCTATGAAAATTTTAGTTCTCATTATTGGAGCCCTTTAATATGGAAGCTTTTTTTCAGCCATGAAATAGAATTTAAAAGATAACTGCTACATTTATTGATCAAAAACACAGTAAAAACAGTAATATTGTGAAATATTATTACACTTTTTAAAAAAAGAAGTTTTGGTAATGGATGAAATGGTTTTGAAGGGCCAAACAGTGACGTTTAATTAGTGCTTCTCTAATAGCACGTTTTGATTATGTCAGCATCTATTTCATGTTATCTAAAAAAAAAAAAACTCTAGAGAAGATAATTTTGCTAAATATACACTACGGTTCAAAAGTTTGGGGTCAGTAAGAATTTTTAAATGATTTTGAAAGAAGTCTCTTCTACTCACCAAGCTTGCATTTATTTGATAAAAAAAATACAGTAAAATACAGTTTTCTATTTGAATATATTGTAAAGCATCATTTATTCCTGTATTTTCAGCATCATTACTCCAGTCTTCAGTGTCACGTGATCCTTCAGAAATCAGTCTAATGTGATAATTTGATGCTCAAGAAACATTTCTTATTATTAAATGTTGAAAACAGTTAATATTTTTGTGGAAACTGTGGTACATTTTTTCCAAGATTTTTTTACTACAAAATTCAGAAGATCAGCATTTATTTGAAATAAAAATAAATGTCCTCACTGTCACTTTTGATCATTTGAATTGGCTGAATAAAAGTAATAATATATATATATTTTTAATTCATACCGACCCCAAACTTTTGAAGGATAGCATATAAAACAAGACAAGCAAGCACACAAACCTCTTTTTTATCACGGCAGCGGTCGATCTCTTTCTTCAGTGCCTCTACGCGTTTAAACGACTCTTTGCTGTCGATGCTGTAGACGAGCACGAATCCATCCGCGAAAGTGAAGTAGTGCCGCGGGAACTCCTGACCGTCACGCAGCCCGCGCGTGTCGTAGAACCGCACCTGCTCTCGGGAGCCGCGGTCCGTTTCCACAGACCCGATGTAAATGTCCTCCAGTGTCTCCATGGTCTCTGAACCTGTCAAGCGGGTATTATGTGAATCTGTCCTAATTTTGAGAAACTATAGTCAGGTAGGTAGGGTAGCTGTCAAAACACTCACCTGCAACATGGTTGGCGTACAGTAACTGCTCCAGAACTGCAGTTTTCCCCACCGACCCCTGGCCACACACCACCACCTTGCAGCTCTTGCCCATGGTCACTTAAGTTACAACTGCTCTGTCTTCATTCAACTATAGAAATAAAGTAGAGTAAAAGGTAGAACTCTGTTAAAACAAGAGAATTGGAAGAATACTGAACTGATGTGCTATAATGCTGCCGTGGTTTGCACGGTGAGTGTGCTTTTGCCAAGTACAACACGTTCCTGGATCTTTGTTGATCCTGAAACATCATTCCAAACAACCAATCAGATTTTGAGAGACAAGTTTACAGTTTATATCAAGTTTAGGCTTACAAGGCCAGAGTTAAATTAGGTGCTTTAGTTTTACAATTTACATCAGTGTTATTCAATTATCATTTTTCTCTGATTTTATATATAACTTGTGGGTTGGGTTAGGTTAGGGGAAAAAAATTCAGACAGGCCTGTTTTTCCAGGATCAACAAAATACATTTATCCAGGAACACGTCTTTTTTTTACTCTTGGCAAAATCCCGGTGACCTGCATAGGCTAACGTTACACCTGCTGCTGCGCCTTTGTTACATCGCCCGAGTGCATCAGATTGCCGTACATTCAATACTAAATTATATCTTCAATAGATAATCAAATACATCAATGAAAATAACCAAAGTAAACGTTTAAAGAAAGGCTGAACTCACCGTAGCCTACTCTCTTCCTGTTTATGTCCAGACTTCGGTCTTCGACGAAATTTGACACCAGTTCGGTTGAGCTGCAGTGCGCCCTCTTCTGTCGGGAGGACAGCAATACATGCCGAATGGCTATAACCACATATTTCATATTTTCAATAACAGATAAGAATAAATTATCTAATAACTAAAAAGGAAATAAGGCGAATAGGTTAAAATGATGCCCTGCTACATCACATTTCTTCCTCTGTGTCAAGCTTGGTCATGCATTAAGCAAAATACATGTAAAACTGTTGTTTCAACCAAAAAATAGGTTTCAACAGAACAAAAGTAATACTTGAGACATGAATCTTCACAGGTATATTGTTGCATATATAATAAGTCAATATGCAAAATTCATTAGGTATAGGTCAAAAACAAAGAAATGGGAAAAAAATTATATTGTACAAACACTTTCATGGAGAATATTAAAGAGCATTGATTCAAAACAAACAAGGGAAAACACAGACAAGGAAAAAACACAACAAATGAATAGGCCTATAGTAAAATTAAATAAATAATTATAACATGAGTAAAAAAAATATATATATTAGGCTACTTTTATAAAATAAATAAAATGGAAAACATGGAATATAGATATCATCAAAACATTCCTTATATTGTTTTCAGGAACCTGTCACATTTTTCTTAGTTAACAATAGATCAAATTCAATATCTAGCCTATGTAATAAATTATGACAGCTTATACAAAGTCATAGCCAATATATCGAGTGCATGCAGGTTGTGAAGAAGCATTGATTGGATCTACACAACGAACTCTGATTGAATTAATTTTTTTTATAAAGGATATCAGTGAGGCTTGTTTCTGTCGTGAATGAGATTTTTTTTATCTAACCTTTCTTGTGTTTATTTCTATCTTTTGATTTTATTTATTTATTATTTCTGTTAGTCCTGATCGGTCCTCGATAGATGATCGGTCCTGATGTACCTCCTCCTGGCTGTACTTGTAAATCGAAAATGCGGTAATTTGTCGCCATCTACTGGTGTAATAACGCACTGTCACCCACGACCACTGAGCGAACTGATAATGCAGTCGGAGGAATAATCCTCTGTAAAAATCACCAGTAGGTATATTTAAATAAATACTTCAAGGTTTAGTTATTACACTCTTAGAGAGAGAGAAATGTATGCAGCCTCTATAGTTTGAAACCTGTGTAATTGTACGAGTACCCGTTTTTGAAATACATACTAAGTTGCGCCGTTTTCCAAACCAGACAAGATGCTTTGAGTTAAACAGTAGTGAACTTTTATGTTGATGTTTGAAAGATGTTTCTCCACACTTTCTTTTGTCAGGATCTCGTATCCGTTGACCTACTATGGGCATATTGCGCACGGCTGCGGAAGGCGGAGCTGAAGGCAGTATGAAAGGCACACATGCCTCGTCTCATTCTCCGCCTCTCTACAGCAAAATGGCGACTGTTGACTTCGACTCGTCCGCGGATCCAGAGATGGACTTGACCAGCGACGAGGAGTTAGAGAGGTACCCGAAAAGACCGATCACTTTAATAAGAGTCCGGCCGATCCGTCCGTGCGGCAGCTGGATTTTAGGGAAGCTCCGATCGGGAATACAGATGTATAAGGACCCTGAGATCGTGATTGCCGCATAACTTGAAAATCAAGGGGTGTCCATGGCCTAGTGTGCCAGGCAGCTGCTTTTAGTGTTGGGGTGCCTTGCGATTAACCTGCTGTTATTCTTATACATCTTGCATGCGCTTTGACCTTTTAAAGCGACGATCAAGGGTGCCATGCATCGTGTTATTACGACAGCTGTGCTGTTCGCCGTGACACAGTTTTAGGGTTAGAATTAGGTTGAAGGCAACGTGACATCATCATGCTCTTAAGAACACAATGCGGCCGCTCTTAAACCCGCACACATGACAGCCGAATCAGACAATTGTTCATCGATGGCCTTGTTCTAGCGCATATTATAAACATTTATAGTTGTTCAATGATATCATGTGTAAGTTAGGTGACTACAATACAAAAAATGCACATGAGTCTACAGAGGAAATGACGTGCTGTAGGCTAATGCCGCGTTCCAGGCAACCTGTAACCCGTGTTTTTCCAACCTTATACCCGTGAAAGTGCACTGGAACGGCAGTCAAACCCGTGACTTCCCACCCGTGAACTCGTACTAGATCGATGTACTCCCAGTTACGAGTTCTGACGTCACATAGCCCGCAAAACCATACAAAACAACAATGGCAGCCCCTACGGATGCAGTGTTTCTGCAGGCGGTACACAGTGAGAATACACTTTAGGACAATATAACGTTGCAATCAAATTAATAATAATATAATAATAATGATAATAATACACACAAGATTATGTATTACAATGTTATGTGTCTGAAACAATAAGTATGTATATACACACACGATTATGTATTACAATGTTATGTGTCTGAAAAAATAAGTATACATGTATATTGCGTGACTGGCCTGGAATGCTACAAAGTCGTGAGTCGTGGTTTGAAGTCGTGATTTACGTGCTCAAAAACCTGCCTGGAACGCAGCATAACTTGCCTCATATCGGGTCTCGTATCGTAACTTTGGGGGCCACTACTTCTGACGCTTTTGTGAACATTTTGTCCAAGTTATAAACTCGCATATTTTTTAAATGTATCTCTTAAAGGTTCAGTTCATCAGTTCAGTTCATTTAAGCATTCTGACTTTTACGCACTCAGAATGACACCCTCAGTCACCGTTCTGTTTTATTTAAAAGAAGAAAGTGAATGGTGACAGAGGCCGACACTCCTTAACATTCTGCCTGACGTGTGCTTTGATTAACGATTTGTTGTTAATTTGGGGTGTGCTGTCCCTTTAAATGTATTTGGCGTTTCGATTATATTTATTAATTGCCACTTTAGATGGCATTCTAGTGTAGACACTAATTAACACCGAAGCATTGTGTATGAGCACTCGTTTATGAGAACGAGTCGTTCACTTCTGGAACTTTCGGTTTGTCTGAAGTGTCTATGGACGGACGGACGGACGGACGCATGACGTGAACATGTAACGTTACGTTGACTAACGTTATATCTATATGGTTGACTTTGAGCGATCGGTTTAAGTTGCCTAACTATGCGCGCGAGAAAGTCAACCTCGTGTTTGTTCATAACCTTCCTCATGCGAACAGTAGTTAATTACCGAGTCACACAAAACTGTAATGTTGTAGTACAAACCTGTTGATGTTCTTGATGAACTTTATACTTGACATGAACATTTATATAATTTATTATGCTATTTTATGTCAAATTATTTAAGGTTACCAATACTCTCTAAATATTTGCCATTTGGGCTTCCATAACCCAACTTGTAAAATTTGTACGTTCATGAAGTAAAAATCCTATTAACTTTATCCATAGATGAACTGGTTTTTAAGCATTTATATGCCTATTTTGTATCCTTCATTGTGTTTAATTGGAGTATGTGATTCACAATGTTTCATGGGATTGCAGCTCTTTCCCTCAAAGTTTGTAATGCGATTCACCTGGTGGTTTGTTTCATGGCTTAACTCTTTAACAAATACCTTTTTTAAAATCCTTGTGGGGAAAAAAAATAATTCCGGAACCAAGGCCGCTGAAAAGGTGACCAGGCACGTATAGGAAACACCTACTACGTTTCAAGACTTGAATTGTTGTCAGCTCATGTACCTGCTCAACAAATGATTCACAGCATTACACCATTCTCTCTGAGAGCACCAGCCTGGTTTTGGTTTGCAGATTAACTGAAGGGTGTGAACGTGACGTCATCATGCTGTAGGTCTGAATAAAGCACTATATTTGCATGACCGCTCACATCACAACAGCCGCTCTCTGTCAGAGAAGAGTGTGAGGTTGACCATTGGTGTGCGATTAAAGGGATAGTTCACCCAAAAATGAAAATTGTCATTTACTCTCCCTCATGTTGTACCAAACTGTATGAGTTTCTTTCTTCTGTTGAACACAAAAGAATATATTTTGAAGAATGTTGGTGATCAAACATTTGACAGTAGCCATTGACTTCCATTGTAGAAAAAAAAATACCATGGAAGTCAAAAGCCATCAACTCTGGTTAGTTACCAACATTCTTCAAAATATCTTCCTTTGTGTTCAACAGAAGAAAGAAACTCATACAGGTTTGGAACAACATGAGGGAGAGTAAATGATGACTATTTTCAAGTTTCCCTTTAAGTAGATTTGACTGTTGACCTCCCCTAAGAATATTCCAGAATATTGTTACAAACCTCCCCGTTTGTCTAGTGGAAGGAGAGGATGTAACAATTATTGTAAATTAAAAGAAATAATAAATATAATGAAAAAGACTGACAGCCACTTCATTTCCCTGATCCAGAAAAGCAACAAAACGCCAGATTAAGCAAATAATTAAAAGATAACGGCAACAAAAAGAAACAAAAGAAAGTAAGCAAATCTTCAGTAGAGGGCAGGGTCAACATAACAACAAACAAAACATTCTACTGACAAGTGTAGCATTAAATAACCTATACAAAAGAAGTCTTACCTCGCACCCTGTCTAACATAAATATAAGCAAAGTTCGAAGAAAATGGCACACTCTTCCTATGGCTTCAAAATTCAGTGTTTACACAAATTAAGAGTGAAAACAAACATTTGCTCGCTCACAGCTAGCGATTACGCAACTCATTCACAAAGTTGAGAGACAAAGACCGCCTTCAGTTGTACACATTTACACCAAAGACGATTCACTAAGGTCACAATTCTGGTTCAAGGGAAAAGAGTGAAGCCGTCAGAACTCCAGCATTGTTTCTCCACTCTATTATAGGGCTCGAGATCTCTGCAACATTCACTCAGCTCATGAATATCAGCATGGAACCCAATTATCAGAAGGGAGAGAGAAGAGAGCAAGTACACAACACATTGCACGCTCAATAAGTAGCATAACTCTCCCCAAACCACCCATATTTTTCAAATACGTCCAGAGGACGTAACAATAATCAGCTGTCATATGTAAACCAGTTTTGAGAAAGATTGCATGTTGACTTCCTCAGCCATTGTGACAATGGGTCCTAGTCAGTGGTTTG